AACATTGGGGAGTCTGACCAAGAAGTATGTTAATCAGAATGGTTGAAAACATACTGTAGTGGCGGGTCATTGAAAATTAATTTCCTCATGACCTTTTAGGAAACCTCCCACAAAGAAAATGTGCCTTAGGTAATGAGACAATTTCCTCTCAGATAACATAGGAATGAAATGGTTTGATGTCACCGGAGTAAAGTGATTGAGATTTTTCGTCTTTACCCTGTGATGGTGGGGGAATTGGGGCATGGATGTGTAAGATACACAACTACATTAAGACCTGTTAAAATCCATAGAAGCAAAGGTAATTTAGGTTTCAAAGAAAAAGTAGCTAAGACTAATTGAAATTGGAGACTACTTTGCGAGTATTTTCAAACACAAAGACCCTGTATGGTACACGGTCCAATTGAATGCTACTCCTTGAAGGCCAAGGAGCAATGTGTTGGGAAGGGCCCTGAATCAAGCCTGATGCTTTGAACACTGTTTCTGAGCACTTCAAAGAGAGCTATTCAGTGGGAGAGGATATGACCCACGTGACCGGGATGGAGTATTGAGACCCATGGGTAGTTTGATTGAAAAGCCTTTTCATCTCAGTGTGAAGAAGATGCTTATAAGAGACAGAAACCTAACCCCTGACAGGGATGTGCTGATGAAAGGTCGATGCCAGTATTACTTTCTTGGCATGGGGAGACCAAACCAAGACAGTCAGAAAGCTTAATCTGTGGGTTACTGAGGAGAAATGAGGATCAGGAGGCTCGTTTGACAACAGAATTGACCGACTGTGGGGCATGAATGAAGGGAAGAGATTTGTATGAATTCTGAGGAGCCGTGCCGGTAAGGGAGGAGTTGAGAGTTCTCTAAGAAAAGCAGCTAGGCCAGGTCATGGATCAGGGAGGACCCACTTGGACATTTCATCCGAGCAGGAGTCCAATTATGAAAGGAAAAAATGTAGATATCAAAAAAAGGTAATAGAAGAAAGGTCTTGATCCTCTGATAACTGTTTTTCTAGCTAAGCCAATTGAGAGGGTTCGTAGAAGGACATTGAGATTGGTCAGACAATACAAGTCCCTGAAAAAGAGACTTTCATTTCTAGGATCGGCTGGGATCAAAGATGGGATGGATAGACCTTGTCTAGGCTTGGAAAGAGCTTGTACATTGTAACTGTGGAATGTATGTGAAGTGAACTTCACATCAATTTGCTTTCTAGCAGTGGGTGGGAATACCACTGTGTCAATTAAAGGCATATTGCATAGAATCTTAAGTATTAGCCCATCTTCACATTAAAATAAAAGCCTAAGTGTGACAAAACCTAAGTGTTCTCTTTGCCTCAAATGAAATATAAAAAAGAAGTCAAAAGTTGAGATTATCAGATGTAAGTTTTAACAAAAGCACTTTTGGAATAAACTTTTGGAAAAACATTTAGAGTTTTTTGTCTTGAATTGTTACAGCAAATAGTTTGCCTTTGTGAAAGAGATGGTCTCACTCATTTTATGGACCATTCTCTAAATAGTTACTGCAAAATGAGCAAAGTAACGTTGTTGGTGCTTTTGTGCCCCAAAATTGTTAAAGAAGGACTTCTTCAGGGAATGCTGACTTTTCAACTATTACTAGTCAATGGTTGGGAGCTAGTGTTATTACCAAGTGATTGCTGTTCTTGCCCCTAGGAGATCCCATATTTTAGTTCTTACTTGTATTTGAGTCTCTTTCTGAAAACATTGTTCATTTCCAAATTCAGGTGATAAAAGAGGGTCTAGAATTTGCTACTCTACCACTACTGAGAGGTGCTTGGTGAGCTGTGTAAGGCCCCAAGCATGGTAGTCTGCCCTTCTTTTTTTTTAAGATTTATTTTATTTGTGCATACAGAACTGGGGTACAGTCCAGAGGTGCAGGAGCAGTGAGAAGCTTCACTGAGACAGAGAGTGGAGCAGAACAGGCCGACAGACGAAGTACACTGCTGAGGGGAGCAGTGGGCAGGTCAGGAGAGGTCTGCCATGCTATGTGGGTCACTTCTGGGGCAGACAGGGATTGAACTCATGTTGAAGTGGCTTTAGCTTCTTAGTGCTGTGTTTTAACCCGCTGCACCACCAGGAAGGGTCCGGTCTGCCCTTTTTACCAAAGGGTCTCAACTAGATCTCCACAAGCTGATGGAACACCAGCTTGTGTTGGCACATTTGTTACTGTTCGGTCTTTCCTTCTGAGGGGCATCCAGAGGGACCTTTTACTTTATCTGGGACACACTGTCATCTGACCACTATTGTCAGAAGATTCTTCTTTCTTCATAAAAAACTACATCAAGTGTAAGAATCTTCCTTTTTGTAGCAGGAGGAATGAGGATAATACCTGGGTCAAATCACCAGAGTCCACATGATGTAGCAGAATTCTCCAGGGGATGTCTGGGAAAGAGAATGTTCTTGAGCACATTTTAATGGTGTTTGTAACTCTCTGGTCCTCAAACCATCCCCTTTGGGGAATGGGGATGGGGAACCATTGGTCCTCACTCATCCCTGTGGGGCAAAACATGCAGCCTCTTCTGGCAGTCCGTGTCTGAGCAGAAGGTTGTGATTGAAATGGAAGCAAGAAATCAACACTGGGATCCATGAGAATTCCTGCCCAGTGATGATGATCCAGAGGTTCCCTCCCTGACTCCAAGTGCCAGGGAAAGCTTGAAGTGGGGGTTGGGAAGGCACCTGGCACCTCATCTGCTGTGTAGTAGGTTCCCTGTAAATTACAGTTTACCTCTTTCAGTATGGTGTCATAACACTCCTGAGCTTGGGAGTCAGAGCTGAGTTTGAGTGCCACAGAAGAGTTGCTTAGCCCCTCGGAGCCTCTACTCCATGGTGATGGTGTTTCCCACCTTAACGGATGGAGGCAAGTCTGCGTGATACAACCATGAACCTATAGCTCACTGTAGATGCTCAGTGGTGAGGCTGCCTCTCCTTTCCTTCCTGGCCTTAAAACCCTGTGTCTGTCTGTATCTGACTAGCTTCTAAAGGGTTGATCAGTGCAGGTCAGACTCTCTGTTTAAATGAGAAATTGTATTAAATAAAGTTAATATCTGTCAGAATAAACACATCAGACTTAATATTAGAAGCTAGGACATTTATTTCCATAAACAGTAAGCTCTGCTGTAACACTTTCCTACAATCACCACAGATGTATAAAAATCATGCATTAAAAAAACCCAAAGGCTGGGCCCTCCCGGTGGCCCAGCGGGTTGAAGCACAGCACTAAGAAGCTAAAGCCACTTCAGCGTGAGTTCGATCCCCGCCTGCCCCGGAGGTGACCCACATGGCGCAGCAGACCTCTCCTGATCCACCTGCTGCTTCCCTCAGCAGTGTATTTTGTCAGTTGGCCTGTTCTGCACCCGGCTCTGTCTCTGGTGAATCCTCTCACTGCCCCTGCACCTCTGGCCTGTACCCCAGTTCTGTATGCATAAATAAATAAATCTTTAAAAACAAAACATAACAAAACCCAAAGGCTATGGGAGGGAAGTGGGTTGGGGCAAAACCAACAAAATAACTATTGGTGACACACCAATGTGTAGCAATCTAATACTGATGGTAGCACAGTTTTAGATGTTAAATGGTTAAGGAATACCCAACACTACCACACATGGTGCATTTCCATAGAAGACCTGAAGCTTGTTTGGCGAAGCAGGTATTGGAAGGGTTAGAGCTTATGAGTCTACTGGCAAAGGTGTGAAAGCCATGTTTGAAGTTGGATGGGATATGTAGCACCCTATGTGTACAATGTGCACATGTGTATTGTATCACACATGGTAAACTGAGGTAAATGCATGTGGATTTTGTATATACCTATGCAACTGGGCTCAGCTCCAAAAGTCTTTTTGCATTCATCCGTGTTTCTCTAAGACAAAATCATGCAGAAGCAATCACAAAACTCACATTACGCGTATGTTGTCCTTCTTGGACATTGGAACAAATGTGTGTTTTCAAAGCATTTCAGTAGAACTTAGTTTGCTAGCTTCCCAGAAAGGGCCACCTTCCACAAGGTCGTACCAAAAGTAGAAATAAATAAGATCAATGTAAAACAAAGGCTCACAAGACCATTAAGATCTTTCATTAACTGCTAAGCATTATGTAACTATAAATCTTTACATCTTCATATATCTATAGATAGAGTGAGTGGATGGTGGATGGATAATAGATAGGTAGGTAGGTTATTGTACTCTAAGGAAGTGGAGTTACTGTCAGGCTGCACTGGGTGTGAAAGAGCACAAGTGGGAGGATGTCTCAAAAAAAGAGAGGCATGACTGATTTTGTTTGTGGATTATCTCTTTGGATCATCTACGACCTAACTGTTCTGTTGGCATAGATGAGTCACCCCGATCTCATGTTGACTTAGACACAGACCCAACCTGAGTAGGGCAGTCAATACACAATAGTAGGCTGTATTCCTTGGTTCACTTTGAAGATCTTCTGTGAGAAATCCTACATTTTAAAAATCAATGTGATCATGAGTATATATGACATATATATGAGTGTATATATATCCCCAAGAGAATGGGGATAGTCATAGAGTTTATGACCTTATGAGGTAATGCTGGCTAAAAAGGCTGAAGAGTTCATAGATGAATGTTAGGAAAGGACCATGAAAGCCCAGAAATTGCCCACAATTTTTTGTAGGTCAGTATATCTTGGAAGGAAAGAGCCCTCAGCTTTCATGACATTCCTAAAGAGATCTTTGCCCCTGAAATGACTGATTTAGAAAAATCCATAATAGAATTATATGGGTCAAAGCACGATCATTGGATATTCTAGTACATTGAGACCATAAAGGGAGAACTATTATATTTTCCTTCAGAAGCCCTCTTGGGACCTACTATCATTGACAGCCCATAGCTATCTGAACTCTTGGGTTGATCTTGCATGTCATCTTTCATGTTTCCCCTAAAATTAACCACATTGTTAGTGAAGGACTCCCTCCTAACATGGATTTGGTCTTTTAGCTGTGTATCTCATGATCCGCTTGACTTTATTTTTCAGATGGGAGCAGCGGGAACTGCCCAATGGGCGTGTCTATTATGTTGACCACAACACCAAGACCACCACCTGGGAGCGGCCTCTTCCTCCAGGGTAAGGCCTCTCCACCACTTGCTGCCATGACATGCCTTCTTCTCCTGTCTCCTTTCTCACCCTAACCCTTTTCCTTATTCATCCTTTCCCCCCCCCCTTCTTTCCACATGCTTTGTATTGGTCTTGACAGCTAGTCAGGACTTTATGAAGTGGAATTCGGAGCAACCTTGGCTGTTGGGTCCTGGAGGAATGAAGACTGGGCAAACCTCATGGGCCTCTGGGGTTTCCACGCCTGCAGTCATTTCACCTATAGAGAAATCCTGTGAGGGTGGGTTTTAGCCTATTTCTGCAGAGGCAGAAAAGAATAGTGATATTTATCTTGGGTCACATTAGTGGTTTTCCTGTTCACTTCCCTTAATTCTGTTCTCATTTCTTAGAACATACTAGGATTTTTACACCAACTTTGGTGGGGGGAAGGGTGTGAGGAAGCCAAGAAAGAAAGGGTGTTTGATGCATTTCACAGCACCCTGTGTCTTAACAGTTGCAGAAGGTCATGCGCTTCTTGTCAGCTGGGCCTGGTGAGAATGCAGCTAATTCTCTAAATCGAGAGGATGAGTGAGGTTTCCAAGTGAGGGAAGACTGTCCAAGTTCACGGAGAAGGGGTTTGTTTCCCTGTCTGCCAGGGACAGAAAGTTCTTTCCACATGTGTATCCCAGTCACTGAACACTTTCAAAAGAAAATGTATCCTGCTCTCAGGAAAGAATCACCTCCCACTAAACAGCTATGAAGGGCCCCTGCATCATGCGCTAACACTTCTCCCTTCTAAATTTGCAGAGGGAAAGGGCATCAAAGGGTGGTCAGTATCAGGAGAACTCCTGTGCTCTGTTCTGTTCAGATGTCAGGTATGTGCCAGGCAAATACCACCTCCCTTTCTTGGCCTTTAAATCTCCAATAATGGGTTGCTCCGAGTTGCAGTGTTCCAGTAAAATGCTTCATTTTGCTTCCCCCCCCCCCTTATTCTTTGAGAAATGAAACTCATAATCTGTCATCATTAGTCTTTGCTATGTTGTAAACTTTGAGTTTAAATCCAGGAAGTTTACCAAAGTTAAACCCTCACTTCTTAGAGAAAAATTAAACATCTGGAAATTATGAGATTATTCGTATTATTATGGAAGTTTTCAGATATATACAAAGTAGAGAGAATCCCCATACACCCAAAATTTGCCTTTAAAAATTACCAGTTTGTGGCCAATCTTGTTTCATCTCTGCCAGGGCTTAACAGATTATAACCTGTAGATAAAATTCAGAGTTCCACCTGGTTTTGTAAATATAGTTTTACTGGGACTCAGACACACTCATTTGACTACTTATTGACCATGGCTGCTTTCATGTTCCATTGCAGAGTTGAATAATTGTGAAAGAGACTCTATGACCTACAACACCTAAAATATTTATTTTGTAAAAAGTAGATTGCCAGTTTCTGATTAGAGTTCTTGCCCACCTCTCCCCCACCACTGACCTAGATTAATTTGAGGCAAATCCCAGACATCATCTAATTTTATTCATGTTTTGGCATACATTCTAAGAAAAATGTTCTCACTGAAAATAAAGCCATTACATTGTTAATAGCATTTCCTTACTATCATCAAATATCTAGTTATCTCATGATTAACCATTGTTGTTTAGCATAGTGTAGGTTGCACACTTGTATTCTGTGTGTACATAGCATGTGTGTTAGAAGTTTCAGTAACTCTGTAAGGTTGCTGGCTCTTAACCTCTTTAACCTCTGAGTTGGGTTGTCCTAGACTTGGTGGACATTTCAGATGGAATGTGACGAGAATTAATGGCATCTTTTAAGGATGCCCAGAATTTACTTTTCTTAAATATTGATCTGGGACACAACATCCAGTTTCCTTTTTTTAAAGGATGTTTTAATATTTTCCTGAGAGGTGGCTCAACTCTGCACCCTACTAGTTCTTCCTCAGTTCAAAGCAGGAGCCTCTGGCACTTTCTTCCACTATGTCAGAAAGATTGGCCACTTAAACATTCATTGCTAACTAAGGGGAGGAGTTCCCATCCTTGGTGAGAGCCATCCTGAAGTTCTAGATGGAGGCTTAATCTCAGCAGACCTACTTGCCCAGGAGGAAGATGGAGCCAGATAATTCACTTAATCATTACCACCTCTTCTGTCAGACTCTTGGGACACTTGTACAAGAACCTATTATTTTATCTAGGGGCAGAACACATTGGACGAGGTCACTAAGGGGGGAATGCACTAATTTGCTCTGTAGTGTCTCTTTGGTGGTGCTCAGACCACAGATGAGCATAGAAAGTGATCGCCAGTGAGCATAGATCCGGGAAGGCCTCTCAAACTGGGAGGCAACTCAAACTGGGCCCTTAGGAAGGGCTGGACTAGAGTAAGAAAAGGAAGATTCCTCCAATCTAGGTTGGAGGAACAGTGGAGGCATTCCCATTTGAATGTAAAGGATGTGTTTATGGTATGATGTATAGAGTAGCTCTGCTGGTGTGAAAGGTTTATGGGAATCAAAGATGTGCAGAGGAGTCCAGCAGCCCTGAGGGTCAGTGAAAGCACCTGCTGAAACCGAGGAGCATGAGAAGGCTGGCTGGACCTCCCTACAGCTCTGTTTTAATGTATTGTAACTCTGTCAAGGGAGGGATCATGAGACTTAGAAGTGTGAAATTCACTGATGCAGAGAACTCTTAATTAAACATGTGCTTGTTTCCATTCCTTTCTGAAAACCTACCTAGGTGGCAATCAAGGTATAAAGTATAAACTCTCAATGGTAAAGGAATGGAAGAGGAGAAATGGCATATGGGAGATGTTAATCAAAGTTTAATTGCTGATAAATTGTAGAAAGCTGAAACCTCAGCCATCAGGAAGCCAGGCAACTTCCACCGTGAAGCCCTGGAAAACCTCAGCAGTTGGAGATGTGCAGTAGTTTTTGTGAGATGAGACAGTTCAGTTTAAAATTTGTGCAGGGAGCAGTCAGATTCTTGCGTTACAGTTACCCATCATGCCCATTCTTCTGCCACTGGGTGTGCACACACATTTCCCCCTTCCACTTCCCAGCACCCCATCCACAGTTCCCCACTCCCCCACATACACAGCCACATGACTGCTGTTGGCCTGAAAAGCTTCTTGGAGAACAGACCCAGCCTGGCAGACATTAGCTGAAGACTGGGACAGAGCTCAGAAAAAGGGATTAAGTGGGGATGCTGTCCCCAGGCTAACAATTGGAGAATATTTTTTTTGCTGGGGAAATTCACCAGTTGAAGAAAAGAGAAATACAGATTGTGATATTTGGGGATCTTCTAGTGAGACAGCTGAGTGAAGCCACTAGTCAGCTGGCCCTTGCCTGGGTACACAGAACTTCCAGCCAGTGTTTCAGCTGTTGACTTTTAAATACCAGTGAACAGCCAAGGACCAGGCAGACGGAGAGAAAAGGACGTGGTGAAAACAATGAAGTGAGCTGGAAAACACACACACACATACAAAATCTGTACAAGTAAAATCAAATTATAATTCATATCCTTAAAGCTTTGGGAGCATTTATGTAAGAGCCGGAGACCATGAAACAGAAGGTGCAGAAAATAAGAAAAACCAAGAGTTTCTTGAAATTAATGTTTTAATAGCAGAAAACTAAAATATTCAGTTCCTGTTAACTGTAAGATAGCATTGGAAGTAAGAAAAGTAGATTAATTCCCCAAGAAAGGCCAAGGTTGCGGGGGGGGGGGGGATTGTCACAACTGAATGATCTAGCATTTGCCCAACCAAGACAATTAAAGACCCATCTCAAGGTACATCCTAGTAGAATTTTGAAATGACTAGAAGATATATCAGAAGTATCCAGAGGAATAAATAGGGCCGGTAACATGGATGAAAAATCAAGAATACCATCCTCCTTCTTAACAGCAACTCAGGGTCAGGACCTTCAGAATTCTGATGGAAAATTATTTCCTGTCTAGAAACCAACTTTTAGTCATTTTAAAAGTCAAGTATAAGGGTTGGGTGAGCAGAAAGGCATCTTCAGAGACATAAAGGCTTTCAAAAATTTTAAGTTTCATGCAGCCTTTCTCATGAGATACAGGACACAAAAGATTTAATTCAGGCCAAAAGAATTCCCCAGAGGAAGACAACTCCAGACTGTGGCGCAGGCTTGGAGGGACACTGTCCTCATGAAAAGGAGGGTTCAGGGAAAAAGGTGGCCAGAAGATGAATGAGAGTCACTGAAGCCTCCTGTCCTCTCAAAATCTGCCAAATTCTGCTTTGAATAACAAGCAGAATAAAATATGACTGTTCTTTGCTCAATGAAAAAAATTTAGGAACTGGGATACTATTTAACCACAAAGAAAGATGTAAATGCTGCCATTTATAGCAAAATAGAAAGAGGTTGAGGGGATTATCTGTAATAAAGCAAGTCGGAATAACAAAAACAAACATTGGACATTTACACAGTGTATGATTTGACTGTAAAATGCTTCCACTAACTAGTGGTCATTAATCACCAAAGTGAGGTTTTGAGGTTAAGTGAGAAGGGAGAGGGAGAAAAATTTAAAGGGGTGTAAAGGATAATGGTGGAGAGAAAGTAAACCATTAAAACAGATTAAATTTTAAAAAATGTAAAACTGTATTAAAATATCCAACTATGTACTGTTAACAAGAGCCATAAATAAATGACGAGAACAGGTAAGTGTGAAGTAAAAGAATGTAAAATGATTTGCCTGGAAAATCACTAGTCTTAAGAAACTTCATGAAACCATAGAAATATCAAATAATGCAAACTTTAAGACTAAAATTGCTACTAAGGAGAAAACTGATAAAGGCCTAAGAATGGATAGCTATACTCACATTGTTGGGGGAACGGTATGTGATTATGAACTTTACACATTGATGTTTTAGGGACTCTATGCCCACTTCCATGCCAACAAGATCCTAGGCACCAAAGGATCCCATCATGCCATGAATTGGCCCCCAATTTATGATTTCCTGAATGGGGGATTGCTGGGAACTAAGGGTGGAGTTAAGCAGCCCGCCTTGGTTTGAAAATAAAATGTGGGCCTGTACTTTCTTAGTTTTTTTTTTTTTTTTTGCCTTTAGTATGTATGCTCTTGGGGACCCAACTCAGATAGTGTTACTGGTAGAACACATTAGACAATCTTTCTCTCCCAGAACTAACTCTCTCTTCATTTTCCTTAATAAATAAAACTCTTATTAACTTTTCTATGTGTGTCTGCAGTTGGATTTTAATCTAAGTATTGGGTCTTATGCTAAGTAAGTGTGTAGTGAGGACCCACACCAGGCCATTCTGTTTCTTTTGGGGGTTACCCTATAACCTCAAATATGGCATATTAAATAATTCTAAACTTAAAAACAGTGAAGCTTAAAAAAATGTTGTATGAGTAAAGAAATACCTTGTGATATTCTGCATACCATCACCCAAACTCTGAATATTGATTTAGTGATGATTTTCTATATTGGAAGGAGATAACATGTGAAATACAATAAATCCTCATTTTTGATAGTGGAAAGGTCATACTCTAGTATGACCGAAAGCAAGACAAAATAGAACCAGCTTGTTATTCAGAAATAGGTCTACACAAAAGCATTTGAGTTGCAAGCAGTGGCTTCTGGGTATCAGGAATCAGCAATGGAAATGTAGGGCAGGAGACACTATTTGTATGGCCATAGTACTCTTTGTGTTTTAATACTATATATGTGATTTCTTTGATAACCAAAAGAAATAAAAATCATTAGTTGAGAGGCATTAAGGGAAAGATGGGGTGTTTCCAGATCGTGAGCCTTTACTATTAAGTGGTTTTATTTAACTCAAGGACTGTGGGAAGTCAGTTGAAGGTTTTGAACAGGAACATGATATGAGGGGTCAGCCTGGTCCATTTTGCCCCATGGTAGTTGGTAGGAGTGGGGAGATTAATTCAGGGAGATTTGGACATGGAGATGGAAAGTCAAGGGCAGGAGACAACAACAGAAAAGAAGCCCTCAGGCTGGGTGGTTTACTGACGTCAGCAGGAAGGGAAGCGCCTGGAACGATGGTGTGGTTTCATCCAGGATGGAGAACTGACAGGCGGAAACTGGAAAGGACCCAGGTTCAGCAGGGAGCTGTGGTGTTTAGTTGAATCCAAAGTTACCCCAGGTCCTGAAGGCAACTCCAGACACACTCTGGGGACTGCATGAGGAGCGGCCATTTTTAGGGGAGACTTTGTGCTTTGAAAAGAGTCACTGAAGAGGTGGCCAGAAAAAAAATCAGTAGTAAGACAAACCCTGCAACTTGAAGGTGCCAGACCAAAGTGGGACAGTCATGTGACTAAGGTAAGAAACCAGAGAAGATGAAATGAGAAGATAGCCAGACTCTCCAACATTTTGCAGCCACACAGCAGGATCCATTTTGGTTTCTCTTGCAGTGGACCAAATCCTATTTTCTTTGTGGCATCTGTTATCCTTTGGAAAGCCCTTTTCTTCTCCTGCCCTCCTTTCACACTTAAAATGAAAATTTTCAAGTATCCACCAAATTGAAGAGTCTAGTATGGTGGTTCCCTTAGGATTATTGCTGGACTCTAACAATTACCAATATTTTGTTTCTTCTGGTCTCCACTTTTTAGGGGAGGGTAACAATGAATTTTAAAATAAACCCAGACATCATAGCCTTTGATTCATAAATACATCACCTGTGTCTCCAACAGATGAGTTTTTTTTTTTAAAGATTTATTTATTTATACATACAGAACTGGGGTACAGGCCAGAGGTACAGGGGTGGTGAGAGGCTTCACCAGAGACAGAGTAGGGAGCAGAACAGGCAGATCAATGAAGTACACTGCTGAGGGGAGCAGCGGGCGAGTGAGGAGAGGTCGGCCTCGCCATACGGCTCACCTTGCGGCGGACGGGGTGTGAACTCATGCTGAAGTGGCGTTAGCTTCTTAGTGCTGTGGTTTAACCCACTGCGCCATCAGGGAGGACCCAGATGAGTTTTTTTTTTTTTTTAAACCAAAATATCATTATTTCACTGAACGAATTTTACAATATTCCTTAATTTGTTGTCACACCAAGAAACAGGTTCCATTATTCCCAATTGTCGTTGAAAGTGTTATCTCTGATTTGTTTAAATCAGATAGAGACTAAAGGCCACCAGGATGCTTATGTCTGATATCCCAAATCTCTCTTAAGCTCCCAGTTCCCTTGCCCTTTACTTTTCTCCCCCATGCCACTTATGAAAATCCTAGGCATTTGTCTGGTAGGGACTTTTCATATTCTGAGTATGGCTGATTATATCTCACAGTCAGTTCTAGCATGCTTCTCTATCCTTAATTTTTCTTGTGAGGTGGTATTTAGCGATGGAGTTTTGAGTATAATCAATTCAAATTCATCTTTCTAAAATTCAAGTACAGTTCACATGCAGTGAGATATATAAATCTGAGGTGTACAAGTGGTGACGAATGCATGTGCCTATATAATCCATACCCTGTCAAATGTAGAATGCTTCATCATCCCATAGATCTCCCTTTCTTGCTACCTTTTGAAAACTTTTTCCCTGTGTATGTAGAACTCAAGCTACACCTACAAAGCACCCCTTACGAGTTTTCCCATTGGTTCCATCAGTGCTCTGCCCAGCCTTGTCCTGCCCATGTGTGTTTTAGGACCCACTTGGGAAAGATCCTCACTGAAGATAATATGAAATCCTGCTATTATTTGAACCAACTCTTTTTCTCTTTACCGTGCAGTAGGTTTTTACTGGCATCTTAGAGCAGGATAATTTTGGTTGCAGATAACAAAAATTGGAATGCAGATTGGCTTAAATGACCAAGATTTTAGTTTCAAATAACTCCTAACAGTATCACCACGGGGTGGCTTTTGTTTCATCCTTTCCCCTGCCATCTACTGCGTCAACATAATAACTGTATGTGGGTTCAAGATGGTAGTCAGGATGTTCTCAGGATTGTCTGCACTCTCAGTCACATTTCCCAGAATTCCTAGGGTAAATCCGGAGATGCACTGTGATTGTTCCAGCAGAGATCATATGCCCTCTGGTCCACTAGTCACCATTCACTTCTGGGACTGAGAGTAGAATCAGCTTCCCCAGAACTAGATGGATCCCTTCAGTGGAAATCAGGAATTAATGCTAAGAAGGGATTGGTTGTTGCACAGGTCACCACAAATGTCTTCTGTAATCACCTGAGTCCCAGAAGCCTCCCTGACTGGCCTGCTTGACTTCCTTTCCCTGGAACAGACAGCCTCCCATGCCACACACCTGTTTACCTGCCCTCAGTCCCTCCTTACCAGCCGTCCTGCCATTTCTCTAGAATTTGAGGATGGGGTAGAGTGGTCACTATATTCATTCTGAGTTTCTTGTTTTCAGCTGGGAGAAACGCACAGACCCCCGAGGCAGGTTTTATTATGTGGACCACAACACTCGGACCACCACGTGGCAGCGCCCCACAGCTGAGTACGTGCGCAACTATGAGCAGTGGCAGTCACAGCGGAATCAGCTCCAAGGGGCCATGCAGCACTTCAGCCAAAGATTCCTCTACCAGGTGAGAGGACCAGGGCTTGCCACCAGGAGGGGAGCCTTCTGGCGCTCTGTATTGCACAACCTCACACGTCCTCTGTCTACCTGTTTGGGGAGCAGGGAAAGTGGTGGCTTGTATGTCAGTGCTATGACCCTGGCGATTTTTTACTCATCCCAGTAAAATTCCACAGCTACTAACTTGCTGGTGCCATGTCCAACCTTAGAATATAAGGACTCCCTATGTCTGAGATGGAATTCACCATCTTTCTTCCAAGACTGGATTTCTTTTCTGACCACTCCCTCCAGGTCCATTCACCCTGACTTGAAACTTGAAGGTCAGCTGTCAGCTACCCCCACCTCACCATTTTGAATTAGTCACCCAGCGCTGCTTTCCATTGCTGCTGCTGTTTTCCCTTAGAGCCACATGATCTAAGAGATTCTCCAGGATCTTTAAAGGGAGCTTTAAAGTTCATGTCAGTCAAAGTTTGGCAACTATGGCCTATGGGCCCAACCAGCCCATGCCTGATTTTTAAAAAAAATTATGTTGGCACATGCTACAGTTTAGGTATGGATTCTGGTTGCTCTCACTATTGTGGCAGAGTGCAGTAGTTACAGCAGAAACCAGATGACCCATAAAGCCTGAAATATGGACCATCCAGCTCTTCACAGAAAAACAAGATTGATTCCTGGGCTAGATCAGCCGCCTTTCTGCTCTTGATTTCTCCCTGCTACTCCCAGTGAAATAGTTAGGGAAGTCTCTGAATTGTTGAATTATTCTCTTTTGCTGGCCTTCTTTCCCTCTCTCATCTCTACTGCCTGTTTCCACCAGAAAAGCCTTTGGATTTCACCACCATTTTTTTTTTTTTAAATCACCATTCAGGGTCTAAGCAAGGGGAGCTTTGCACTATGCTTTTCACTGGTATTTTTATCACTGGCTCAAAACTTTCTTTGGCCATTACCTGCAGATATGTGCTTTCTGACTCAGAATTCATGGTCCCAATTTAAGGGTCTAATGGTCTCCCAATGTAGTGTCCCTTTAGGAACCCTCCTAGTATCCCTCTTCCTGAGTCTCTGTCCCATGAGAGCTTCTACTTGTAACTCAAGTCTGGGGTAGTCCAACCATGCAGCTTCTTTGGCTGGGAGGGGTGGGATTCCCACATGGGAACCCTGGCTGCATTTTCTCATCACACCTTGCACATAAAGCTTGGGAGTTGCAGTAGAACCCATGCAGGATGTGGTGTGTTAACAGCTGGGAACTTTTTGAACTGGTCCATGACATTGAATTACTCTGTTTAACAGCATGGTTTCTCCTTGAAAGGAACTTTAACCCCACAACCCATTTCTAAATCAAATACTACCCTCGTTGGATACTCAGAAAATCTTTAGTTATATTTACTTAAGTAGCTGTCATTTTCAGCTTTGTCTTCATTTGCAGCTCCCTCTCTGCTCACCCGAAGAGCCGCACCATAAGCCAGAAGGCTTAGTGACTTCTCTCTCGGCTGGCTTGCCCTTTCTGTCTGTGGGGACTGATCCTTCATCTTACCGTGAGGAAAGTGATGAGGGTCCCTATTTCCTTAGAATGTATGAGCAGAAAGCCGTTGGTCACATTAGGTGGTTTCCAGTAGGAACCCATGTCCTGCCATACCAGCACTGTTCTGTATGTGTTCTTGGGCAGGATGGCCAGCTCCACAACCCCTTTCACACATGCCTGACACCTGTGCTGACTTATTTCAAATTTTGTTGGCATCTGGTCATTTTCTGCATTTCAGCAATCGTGGACCTCAGTTGGATTCAAACACTCTTCTGGCCATTTTCTTGGGTGGTGGAGGCTGCAAACTGGAAGATGTGGGAATCTTTGTCCTTTGAGATGAGAACATTTTCAGAGCCTCCTGTGCTTTTGTCTCTCTGCTTACCCAACTCCTCAAAATAAAAAGATAAATGCCATTAAGAGAATCTTTTTCTTTCCTACCATACACCAAGTCAGTTTGGTAGATTGACTAGGACATTGGGTATGTGAAAGGGAAGATTCTGGAGTTCATATCCACTTGGCCTTGGGAACTTTCATCCCCACTTCCTGCTTTTCTCCTTTAAGCTTCATCATCTAAGCCTGAGAGGTAGAACTCTAACTCGAAGGATCCCCTAGAAGCAAAAATGAAGTACTAAAGAGATCCTGAGAATACTCTGATATGGGTGTTCGGCATGATTGGGGACTTAGGAGGGGGTGGTGCCCATTTCTCCATGAAACAAGACTCCTATTGAAAAATGGTGCAGTACTCTTTCTCGAGTCAGCTTTCAATGTCTCTCTGTTGATTTCCCTCCTCTCTGGATTTGGTCTGCTCCTCTTATTTGCTGTGGTGCCATGTCCTGGTTACAAGTAAGAAGAGTCGCTTTCATAGTTATTTTGGGGTTTGGCATTGGCCCAGAGTTTGACTCGGAAGACTTAAGAGCTGATGCTCAACCAGCAGCTCCTCCTCCTCCTGCTGGGCTGAAGCTGAGACCTTGTTCTTCTTCACTGCCCTGCAGGGAACATAAAATGTGGTTCAAATTGGAAATCAAGGGAATCCCAGATCACAGTCTCTGCAGTTCCCTCCTGCTGTCTGCCTGCTGCATCTTGCATCTTTCTCAGTCTCTGTTACTGTTCCCTTATTCTGACATCTCCCTTTTCTACCATACCCATGTGCCTTTACTGCGTGGTCACTGTGCCCAAACTGGCATGTGGCCCATGCAGTGGCACTTTGCCCTCTCTCCCCAAGGAGGTCACCTAGGCTGTGGGCATCATCTGTCACAATGGACCCGTCTCCAGTCCGCTGCTGCCTGTGTGGCTCTGGTTCCTTCACTCCTCCCGTCACAACTAAAAACGGTAGCCAGCGTCGGCGGGACTGAAGACAGATCATTTTGTTGACTCCTACTGTGTGGACGCCAAGTGCTGTGGTCGGGAAACAAATGTCTGGTTTCTTTGCTTTGTACAGAACCCCTTGGACTGGAGCCTCAAGCACCTGGCTTTTGTTCTGTGCCCACTGGGTGCGTCCTATTAAAAAAAGGAGCCTGCCTTCCACGCAGTAACCTTATGCCCTTCCCAGAACCTTTCTTGCTCTCGGCAGGACTTTGCTAGACATTCTTTATTTCTGAGTTTGTATCTTAAAATATTACTGGAACTAGTGCTTAGTTCCCAAGGGACTCAGCTCACGTGAGCTCTCTGGCTTGTGGCCTGCACCCCAGATCTCCCAGCCCTGGGGCAGTTACTGGAAGAATCATCCCCCCTCACTCTTTCCAGTCCCTAGTGCTAACGGGAACCGTCTTGTCATTGAGTTACCTGCATATACAGGGTCTCTGCGTCTTTCTTGGTGAAACACTTGGGGTCTCTCAGTTCAGGGGGGAGTGTGGTTGAAGAGAAGAGGCAATTAGCTCACTAGAGTTTCACTTTCCTGTCTGCTGATACATAGCTTTTTCTTTTTGTTCTTGTTTCTCCTTGGCTTTGTTCACTTTTCTGCTCTCACTCTTCAAGTAGCACTGTGTACTTTAGGGGACAAAAGTCCTGCCTAGTCAAGTGCTATGCTGAAACTGTAAGGTCAGATTTCACTAACTCTTATTTCATGTGTTGCTTTTGATCAGTCTCTGGTCTCTTCCTTTCCTTTCTACCTCCTCTCTCCTTGTGACCTTCAAACAAACAAACAAACAAACAAAAAAAACAAAGTCAAGGATTGCTTTTTTGTTTCTATTTTTCTATTTTTGATCGGTCATGGAGTCTGTGACTAGAGACCTTCTGCTGTACTGAGTTATAGAGGTAAGCAAAAGAAGACAGTAAGGACGGTGGAAACCCAGTGTGTACCAGTTGGGAGTCAAGTTCCCCTTGGAGCCTCTGAATGCTTCATGGAATATTCACTCCTTCTGAAAACAGACCTGAATGAGCAAATGGTTTCTCACCAAATGTTCCTTCCTTTAATCTCCTAACCTGACCTTTTCTGTAGCCGTACCCCTTGGCAAGGTCACTGCTGCATCCTACTTGGCTTCTTTATCTGGGGTGCCTCTGTGCTTCCCACAGTGGACTCTCCCTTTCTGTGGGAAATGCATTTATAGCTACAGCACTTGCATGTTACCAATGAAACAAAGTTGGAGGAACTTGAATTTCATGGGGTGAAGGCATGGGAGGCTGCCCCCTCTCACTCACTCCCACCACTGTGACTTCTGTGGATTGGGGAGAATTTTTCCTCCATCACCATCAGACAAATATGAATTGTGGTGGTGACTTTGAACACGTCCTCTAGGTTAGCGGCAGAGGACAGCGCAGCTCCTTGCGCCTCCGTGCAGTCTTGTTCTGCCTGGGTAGGATGCTCATTGCTGAAAGGGGGCTCTATCCTATCAAGGAACCTATGGTTTCAAGACTTATATGTCTTTGTTGGAACTTGCTTTGGAAGAGTTGCTTGTATGCCACCTCGGAAAGAAAGTTTCTGTGTCCTTTCAGCTTGGGGTGTGGAGGTAGGGCTGTGAAAGGGGACTCCTGGGCTGTTGAGTTCTACCAATGTTTGCTCAAGCCCAGACTGAGCTCCATTCATCCTCTTGCCCACATGTGGCTGTGCCGCCCCCAGACAGGGCCAGCCAGGCAGCCCCAAGTCTGCATCGAGAACTCGATCCCCTAATGTAACAATTAAATTTTAGTAAGTGAAATAAAAATGCTTGAGTGAAAAAAAGAAGGGAAAGAAAAGCTAGCGCAGAACAATACTTGTTTTATTTAGCTATGAAAAGTTTTTGACAGCACCCCCCTTCCCTGCAGGATATGAAAAAGCTGGGTTCACTGCAGCCCTTCCCCTGGGACCTTGGGGCAGAATGAGGCTGGGGGTGGGGTGCTCTAATGTAAGCAGTGACCCTGAAGGCCTGGAGTGAGCTCCCCCTTCTCTCTTCTGTCTCCCCCTCTCTCTTGCCACCTCGCCCCCAACCCCACCTCCCCACACAGGCACACACAGAACACTGAACAACTTCAGGTCTAGGCAGGAGGAGAATAAAGGTGCTTTGTGAAGAGAAGCAAAACATTCCTGGGGGAGGTGAGGGGCCCAGGGCATGAATGTGCCCTCAGTCTGGGCTGCTGTCGCACACTGCTGCCTGCCCCCTCTCCTAGCACACCCAGGAGGGAGGTAGGGGGAGGAGGGCCCAGCCCCCAGCCAGGAAGCTCTGGGCGTGGGCAGGGCTTGTGGGAATGATTTCATTGGAAAGGCCTGCGATATTTTTTCCCCTCCCGTGTGTGGTTCTTGGAGAAAGTTGGAGGTGGTGGTGATTTCAGTTGCCTTGGCCGCATTGAGCAGGAGCTGAGCTGAGCAGAGGTTCCCGGTGGAGCTGACTGGGCTGTCCTGCTCCTGGGCCCTCCTGCCGTGCTCGGCCTCTCTCTGCAGCCTCAGCCCTGGCCCACACTGGTCTGTGCACCTCTGCCTCTCCCTTGCTCCACCCTTGCCAAAGCCTGTCTGGGCCTGCAGTGTGCAGGGGTCTTTTTTGGTCTTTCTTTTTTTAAAAAAAGACTTTTAAGAGGAACAGATGCCACCTGAGGCCTCCCTTGTGTCCTCTACAAAGTGCACAAATGTGGAAATGGGTCCTTGTCATTTTTATTTTTATCGATTGGTTTATTTTTAACCAGCAGCTTTTTTAACCTCTGTGTTCTGCTGTGTTTCTTGTGTCTAGTCTTCAAGTACTTCCACTGACCATGATCCACTGGGTCCTCTCCCTCCTGGCTGGGGTAAGTACTGACTTCCTTGTCTGACCCTCAGCTAATGCTCCACCACCTTCCATCCTTGTCCCTGCTCTGTCCTGGTCCCCTGCGTGCCTTCCTCACTCGCGTCCCTCGGTTTCCCATAGGGCTTCTGTGCAGCCGTTTCAGCCGGCAGAGCTCCAGGCAGTGGAGCTAGAAGACTGGGGAAGGAATGGAGTCTCCCTGCGTCCTGGTAGCATTTACTTACCAAAGGGGGACCCTCTGAAAGGAGTCCCAGGCACGATCCCAGAGACTGTGGGGTTTGGGTCTTGATGGTCAAGGGGTCTTCTTACATACTCTTCTTACATCCTACACTAAGGCATTTTGATGCTGGCTCACTCCCAGATGCGTTTGTTCCAGGTCTGTGGCCATGGGATCAGAAGGTACCACATTACCCAACCTCTCTTTGCAGCTGAGATGTTGAAGGACTCCCGCCTCACTTGGATTAATGGAAGCCATCATTTTGTTTGTGACACAGCTAGGAAAGAGGTTTAAGGGAAGCAGATCCGAGCCGAGGGCTGGGTGGTAACCCAAGGACAGTGCATCGTTGCTGGTGAATTGCACTGTGCTAGGTCTCCCCCCCCCCCCCCGGAGCACCTCTTTGGTGTAATCTGCCAGTTGTGAGTTAGAGAGGTAGATATTTAGGACTTGGGGCCGCTAGACTTGGTGAGGCTTAGTGTATTTTCAGCTCTGAGCTGACTCAGGGTTTTGTTTGGTATGGCGAGAGCCCCTGGGAGCAAAGGCTGGCCGTTTGTGCAGGAATCAGCATGTACTGGGTTGAATTTATTGGTGAGGCCAGCAGAAGACAGTAAACACTGGTTTAGTGGTATTCACAGCTGGTATTAAATTGGGAGGGGTGTGTTCCCCCACAAAGATGGAGAAGCTGACAAGGTTAGGATGAACATCTGCCTAGAAAGTGCAGTTTTGAGCTATATCCTCTGGGTGCAGATACTGCTGCTCCCTGGTAGCAACTTACAAGGTTGCATCAATCCTCTTGGGCCCACAGCATATCATTTAGTGAATTCCCACTGAATTCCAGAGCCCTGGAAGGACCTCCTAGACCTTCCTGGGGGCTTTGTCAGCGAGGCTTCCATGCCAGAGCATCTCTGATGCACACAGATGATCCACCTGGTCCCCTGAACCTATGAAAGGTCATTCATAACTCAGAGATTGACAGTAAGTTGATGTGAGAGGGTCCAGCCCAGGGTCGCCAACTGGCAGGGGATAACTCATCAGAGGAAACAGGAATCTATCATGCGGTTGATGCCTGTTGATACGGTGACTCTAGCTGTGACCTGGCTCTGGAGAGTCAAGAGATTTATTTCTGCACCAGTCCTGTTGAAAAGACACTCCTCGAGTTAGAGCAGCCTCAGAGGCTGGACAGTAGCTCTCAGAAGCCAAGTGTGAAATATCTAAGGTGGTAAGAGGCACCATAGACAGAGCCAGTGTTGTTCACCATCAGAAACACACACACAAACCTGTAATGGTTGAAACTCAGCAAAGCAAATAGCCTGGCTGAGGGCCATGAAGCCTTCCTCCTCACAAGCCCCCTGGGCTCTGTGTTGGCTTGCCTGAGGCTGTGGCAGGGCACCTCCCCAGGGAGAGTCAAGAGGAAACGGAAAGAACAGCAAAACCAAAGGCGAATTGCATCACGCACAAGCTTGCTGTGTTCTGCACTCAATTCTGGTGTCTTTTTCTGCTCCTTCAGGTTAGAGACCTGGGTCTCCCCATGCACTGGCCCATGGGTTCAGACAGCCTCAACTTTAGATCTAGTTTTCCTCTCATTAGCCCTGACCCCAGACATGTCCCTCAGCCTGTTTCTTCCTGAAATGGGATTGAACTGCATGCACATTTCAGTTTCCCAGTCCCCAGGCTAGGAAATTACATGCAGCAATGTGGTTATATTGGGGCCACAAGACCCACTCCCACAGTGGCTGTACCAGATCTGGGGTCCACAGGCCCCAGACCAGCTGGCTAGAGCCCATGGCAAGTATTAAAAATGGGCTTCGCCTCTGGCAGGGATATCTGAGGCTGTAGTTCTAAGTCGAAGTTTCTGGGCTGAGGGGCCTCTGCTGAGAAGCTGGCCCTCTGTCAGATGGTGCTGCAGCAATTCTGAGATGGAACTGTGGAACAATCCTGGGCAAATCTTTTCCTTTCTTTTCCTTTGGTCTGTGTTTCTAAAATTTCCATTGATTAATCGACATCAGGTAGCGTAGTACCCTGGGTTGATATTGGGAAGGTTACAGACTGGTATTTGAAGGGGAGGACGCTGGCACCCTGGTTCTGTTCCTGGCAACCTTTAGTCTCCCTGCAGCTCTGGAAGTCATTTCTTTCACTGCCTGTCACTGTAGAAGGAGGGCCATTAGCATCTTTGGTTTTCGGGACAGAGACAGGTTTTCAGGCTCGGGAACTTCTTGGGTACCTCTGCCGAGTTTGAAACCTTGGTCTGCGTTTCACCTACTGTCTATCTGGAGCTAATGAGTCCCCGCTTTCCTCCTCAGTGGGATGTCATAAGACTCCACAGACTTGGAAGTTTATTTGCTTGTACACAACACAGGAGTTTTGCTGGGTTATGAGAGCTCTGTAACCCAACATTGCTTTTAGGCAGGACAAAAGAGAAAGTAGAAGGTAACATAGGCCCTTGGTGCAGAGCACAGATAGAGCCATATGAGAACAAATGTGGCCCCTTACCAATGGCCCCACCTATGGGAGCAGGCGCCTGGCTTGGCTGCATCCAGTGGAAGGAGAGGCTGCAGAACCAGAGACCAGCCATGATGGACTGGGGTGGGGAACCAGGGCTGAGGGGCAGCTGGATGCAATTAAACCTCTGAGTTCAGCTGGTCTGCTCCCAGTGTGTCACCATTCTGCCCCCTTCCCTCCAGCTAACCAACCACCCACCCAAGCACAAATCAAAGGGAGTGCTTGATTTCAAATTGAAAATGGACAATCCTTCCACCTCCCCAGCAGGGAAAGATTCTCTTCTGTCTTTTGTGCCATTGACAGATGTTGAGTCAGGGGCTTAGGGACAGGCAGATATTCAGTTAAAGTTCTCTAACAGCTTGGGGACAGGCAGATATTCAGACCCTATACTCAGGAGGCAGGAGCCAGAGAGGAAGGAACAAGCTCTCAGTCTGATTGTCCTCTTTTCTTTTCTTTTCTTTTCTTTCTTGTCATCTGGCAGAGAAGAGACAGGACAATGGACGGGTGTATTACGTGAACCATAACACACGTACCACCCAGTGGGAGGACCCTCGGACTCAGGGGTAAGGACTGGGGTGGGGAGGCCCTGGGCCCTGTGCAACATTGAATTGACTGGCATTGGAGGACTTTCAGCCACACACGTTTCCCAAGATCTTCATGATAGAGTATGAACTTGAAAGTGACCCCTTAGGGCCTTCCTGATGCAGGAGGGTGGCCTGGCTGATGGTCTCCATCTGGCTAATTGTGCAGGCTGCGTATGATAATGTCACTTCAGAAAGGTTAAGGGACACCTCAGCACTCTACCATCCACCCCTCAAAAAGCAAGTCAGGGACCGGGGCACATGGCTACTCAGGCCATGACCAGGGCCACCTCTCTGGTCTCATGACAGCAAATGACCTCTCTGCTACACACCTGTCCGTAGGACTCAGGCACATTTTCTCAAACACCACCAGCAAGGCTCTGCTGGGCCTGGATGAAATTGGAGAGGAAATGGCACTGTGTGGGACCCCAGCCTCCTAAACATTGAGGCCCAAAAGGTGAGACCAGCCCTGAACCCCTCTCTTCCTGTTTCCAGGATGATCCAGGAACCTGCACTGCCACCAGGGTGGGAGATGAAATACACCAGTGAGGGGGTGCGCTACTTCGTGGACCACAATACCCGTACTACCACCTTTAAGGACCCTCGTCCTGGGTTTGAGTCCGGGTAAGGAAGCCCTGGCTGTGTCACCTGCTCTTACTGCCCTCTGGTGGCCAGTTTCAATGTCACATAGCAGGGATGGGAGGGCAGGGTCACCCTGGTTTTCCAGAATAACACCAGTGGTCTTTCTCTAAGAGCAGGAGGTCTGACTTCATCTTTAGTTTTTCTTTCTACGCCTCCAATCTGAAGAACAGCTTCCAGCAGTCCTTTCTTTTCGTTTATGTCTTACTCTACTCACCTTTTGGTATACATAGCCTCAGCTTTCCTTAGGGCTAAAAAGACAGTGTTACTTATTTCTGAGAAACCCCAGATTCCAGACCATCTTTGCTCTTCCCAGGACGAAGCAGGGTTCCCCCGGTGCCTATGACAGAAGCTTTCGGTGGAAGTATCACCAGTTCCGTTTCCTCTGCCATGTGAGTTTGGTACTGGGACCTCCAGGCCAGCAGCAGGAATACCTGTGTCTTAGGTGGGGGCAGGTCACTGTCTCATCCCAAGGGCTGTCTGGCATTGTCCCTCAGAAGTCAGCTTCCACTGCTAGGGGGCCAGGCTCTCCCTTACAGCCCAGGGGATGGGAAAGACCTGTTGAGCCAGATAGGGGACCAGACCATATATTAACATGATGGCTCTAATTTGAGGTTTCTGTTTTCTTTTCTTTTTAGTCCAATGCCCTCCCTAGCCATGTGAAGATCAGTGTTTCCAGACAGACGCTTTTTGAGGATTCTTTCCAACAGGTTAGAAAATAACCAGTGGTGTCTGTGGCCAGGGGGCAGGCACACATTGCCCCTCACACCCTGTGCTCTGTTGAGAAGCTGTTAAGTCCACAAGTCTGAGTTCCCAAGGTGCAAGCCTTGGTGACCTTGGTGCCTGCTGAAGAGCAGGCCTTCGGGTCCCCGCCTGGCCCCAGCCTGCGTGGCAGGGAGAGTGACAGGCTGGGCTCCATGCTCTCTCCCTAGATCATGAACATGAAACCCTACGACCTGCGCCGACGGCTCTACATCATCATGCGCGGCGAGGAGGGCCTGGACTACGGGGGCATCGCCAGGTGAGCTTGGCACCCCTACAGGCTTCACTGTACCCTCTGCCCCCAGGCCGCAGGGCCCAGGCTAGAGAGCGGCCTCCCCTTTGCTCAGATTGGTTTCCAAAGCTGTCATGCCTGTGTAGGAGTGGGCGCAGGTGAGGCCAGTCCAAATGGGCATGGGAGCAGGATCCTGGGGTCCCTGGCATTTACCCTTTTGTTATTGGGTCACAGGGAGGCGGGGAGTGCAGTGGGGCTTCTGGGTCAAGGACTCAGGACAGTAATTCTTTGACTACCCAACATGTCATCATTTCTATACTTTAACCAGCCCTGTGTGCCAATGGGCAGTAGCTAAATTTTGGCGCCATGTGCTTGTGTGTTAACATCAGCCCTGGGCTTCCCTCCTGAGGTAGCCAGGGCAGTTTAGACCCCGCATCTTGGTGCATACCTGATATGGGTCAGCCGCATCCCCATCCATGTGGCCTTGGCGTCAGTACCTGGCTACAGGTCACATGCACACTTGATTAGTAAAGTGAACATGGCTGGTGTAGCCCTGGAAAGAGCTCACAGCATTGTGTTGCCCTCACCCAAGTCCACCTACAAAAGTGAACGGACCTTGTCAAAACATTGCCTGGGCCAGTGGGCCCTGAGAGCCGTGGCAGAAGGAAGGAGCGTCTTGGCCTGCAGTGACTGCTGAGCTCGCTGACCTTCACGGTGTGGGGACGTCTTCTCGCTTGGTGTCGGGTTAACTTGCTTCTAGTCTTCTGTTCGCTGGTGGCATGGTCCTCTGTGTTGGCCCCGTGGAACCATTGCTCTTTTTTTTTTTTTTTCTGTGGTGACCTCCTCTCCAGGCTCTGCTTGGTGGGCTGCTGGTGTGGCTCCCGCCTTGTGTGTGTCTGTCTCTCTGTGTCCTGCCAGTGGTTTTACCCTATGGTAGGTTACGTCATGCTGTTCTACCACAGGGTAGAACCACGGACAGGATACCGGGGCACCCTCTGCATCGAAGGACTCCTCATCTGCCCGGCCACAGACAGCCCAGCAGCCAGGGACTGGTTCCCGGGGACATCCCCATGCTGGCTTAGCTCAAGCCTGAAAGGAGCCTGCATTCTGGCTTGAGACTTGGAAATAGGGTGCAAAGAGATGCTAGGACGTGGGTGTTGGTTCAGATGAGCGCACAGACATGGGAAGGATGGTGATGGTGGGAGTGGAGGGATGTGCAAAGGAACTGAGGCACAGCTGATGGGACTGAGGAAGTGAGGGTTATGGTCCAGAGGCAACATGGATTCCAGTTTACTAACCATGAGTTAGAAACCTACACCCATGGATTCTTATCACACTGCCTGTTCTCATCAGTTGGTAGCAGTCTGGCTGCTCTTCATATTGTACCTTTATGAGGTTTAGAAAAAGTTGACCTTTCTCACGACACTTCTGTCTTGGAAAGAGTCATGTAGCTTGGTTTTATCAGAAAACAAAACAAAGACCGAAAAACCTAGCTTGCCTGCTATCTGCAGGAAAATTATTATAAAAAACATCCAGGTCTACATATTTTTAATATGATGCCCTTGTGCAGTGCACAGCCGATACAACTGTGCCTGGTGGACCTAGTGTGCAAGGAACCCTTCGCCCTTAGGCATTTTGCATGCTGGATGTAAAGTCCTGGGAGCCAGTACATACACACTTACGTTTTCCTGGGCACCATCCTCAAGTACAGTTGTTGTCCTGGCTCCCCCCAGGTCTGACCTTATGCTCAAACCAGCTGTCATGATTCCATGGAGTTGGGACTTCCTGGGACATGTGTCTGCAGTCTAGCTGAAGTTGGACAGAGGAAGAGAGAGCAAACCTCCCATATTGGTGTGCAGGGAGGGGTCACGAGTCTTGTATTTTTTTCTTCTCTCACAGAGAGTGGTTTTTCCTCCTATCCCACGAGGTGCTCAACCCCATGTATTGTTTATTTGAATACGCCGGGAAGAACAATTACTGCCTACAGATCAACCCTGCCTCCTCCATCAATCCTGACCACCTCACCTACTTCCGTTTTATTGGCAGGTTCATCGCCATGGTAAGATTCATGACCCAGAGACCTCTGGGCAGGCAGCAGCCAAGGAGGCCAGATTCTGCACACCCAGAGCAGCACCACTGACTGCTGACCCCCCTCCCCCTCCTCACAGAATTCCTAACCCAAATACAAAAAGCTAGAGATAGTTTGGTGCTTTCTCAGTGGCCACCCTAGGGCCCTTGAGAGGGTTTTCTTGGAGGGCTGTCCTATGAAAACCCAGGGGCCCTAACAGTCCACTGTGGCCCAGCAGAGGGTGTTGGCGTGTCAGGACTGAGCCTAACCTTAACTGGCCATCTGCTGCCCATCTCTGGGGGGCAACACCTTCTGTTACAAGCTGCAGGTGGGAGCATTTGGGAGTGTTGAGCAACAGAGTTGGGAAGGGGAGTCTGTGGGAGCCATATTAGGTGAGGTGTTTCACTGCTTACTGTCCTTTGCTTCTCCCTGACTTCCTAAGCTCAAGATGACCCAAAAGCCCATTACTAAATTTGTCCCTTCCCATCGTCTGGAAGTTCTTGGCCACAGTGCTGGGCTCAGGAAGTGGGCACATTCCTCCCAGACCCAGAGACCCGCCCGGCCCAGCAGCCGACAGAACAGACCAGTAAAACCCTAGACTATTACTCACCATTGGGCCGCCAGCTCTTGCCGTCACTGGCGTCTGCATTATTTTTGGCTGTCTCTGCTGCCCAGCGCTGAGCATCAGTGAGTCAGGGCTGCCACCTTTAGCTGCACTGGATGAGTCCTCTCTGTCAGATCGAGGCAGATCTCTACCCAAACAGGGAGCTGGTAGGGGGGCTTGCTGAGCAGGCTAGGGGCCCAGGGAGGGCTTCTGTGCAGGCCTGCCTGTGGTCTGTAGATGTGAGAGCATGCTTTCCGAAGTCCCGGTCAGGACAAAGTGTTGCTCATTTCCCAGATGCTCCTTTGGGGCCCTTGAAGCAGCTGGATGCCCAGGTATATTGGAAATGGCAGGCAGGTAGCAGTAGCCAAGTTTAATAGTTTCCACAAGCCACGTGGAAAATATCCTGGGAAGAGCAAAACCTCTTTGCCATTTCTTTGTCTTCCTCAGGCCTTGTACCATGGAAAATTCATTGACACAGGCTTCACGCTCCCTTTCTACAAGCGGATGCTCAACAAGAGACCAACCCTGAAAGACTTGGAATCCATCGACCCTGAATTCTATAACTCTATTGTCTGGATCAAGTGAGTTCCTGCCCTTGTTCCAAGCATGAAAAGGAGAGTCTGGTTGGGGAGAAGCTACTGTTGGCCTTTCTCTTCTTTGCCAGAGTAATTCCTATAGGTCCCCCTGGAGGGGGGTTCCCATTTTGCATCAGGGAACCTCTGTTTCACATTTTAGGCCACCTGTGAGTTCTCCTGTTCTCCTGTTCTCCTAAAAGTGAGTGATGGAGCAGGATTAAGGGAAGACCCTTCTGCCCAAGGTAGACATCTTCCCTCTTGATCTCTCCCACCCCTAGAGAGAATAGCCTAGAAGAGTGTGGCCTAGAGCTGTACTTCATCCAGGACATGGAGATCTTGGGCAAGGTGACCACCCACGAGCTGAAGGAAGGCGGTGAAAGCATCCGAGTAACAGAGGAGAACAAGGAAGAATACATCATGTGAGCCTCCTATGGGAGTCGTGAGCGGGAAGAGGGGAGTAGAGACATATCCTGTGGCAGAGAAGGGGTTTCCCACTCTTGTCTCTGGGGCACCCAGGTATTGCCTCCAACTCACAAGGATTGCAGGAACCACCTTTCCCCCCTATTTTGCATAGGCCTGAGGCTGCTAACATGGCAGTCATATACTGAGCAGCATTGAGGGTGCTGAGCCCTGATCTCTGTCCTTGGCTCCTGGTTGCTCTTATTTCCCCATGTGGAAGACTTCAAGACTACAGGACTGAAGTCTTGAAATTTCTCCATCTCACTCTCCTTTCCCCTAACTGAAAAGGTTTTGGTGTCCTGTTTGTTTAAATCCACCATTTCACGTGTGTTTGTTCATTTTGCCTGTGCATGCTTTTGTGTCTGTTTATTTATTCTCTTTAGTCTCCATGGGTCTGTGGTCCAGTCAGCAGTGGTGGGAGGAGGAGGAGAAGGTGGGGGTCTTTTCAGACTCAGGAGTCGTAGAGATACTGTGAGGTCGGGCAGGCCTGGGTCACTCAGTTGACAGGGTGTTGTGGGCCAGAGCTCTGCTCTCCATGAGTTCCTCGCTGCTACATCCATGGCCCGAACTGTGTCTGAGCAGGGGATCTTGGTTTTAGGCTGCTGACAGACTGGCGCTTCACCCGGGGCGTGGAAGAGCAGACCAAAGCCTTCCTGGATGGCTTCAATGAGGTCGCCCCCCTGGAGTGGTTGCGCTACTTCGATGAGAAAGAACTGGAGGTGAGAGCCCAAGTTTTTGGAACCCTGGTTCTGTAGGTACCCTTGCTTGGTGGTCTTGTTTTGAGGTGTCCTCAGTCAAGACCAGTGTTACTCATCTCATTAAATTTGCCATTGAAAACCGGAGAAAATATTTGAGCCAATTTCATCTGCTAGCCGGCATAGGAGGGGGCGGGGGCTGGCCAGCCGCTGACATCTTCCCCTCTGCAGCTGATGCTGTGCGGCATGCAGGAGATAGACATGAGCGACTGGCAGAAGAACACCATCTACCGGCACTACACCAAAAACAGCAAGCAGATCCAGTGGTTCTGGCAGGTGGGTCTGGGTACTGTGCTGCCACGGTTGGGGCAGGGGTCTTGTGAGGGTCTTTTGAGTAGTCGCCCTAGGGAATGACACCTCATTGGACCTCAAGTCCGAGGACGCTCATTGTGTTGTCACTTCCTTCACCCTTGACACTCCGGCCTCACCTCCCCAATTTGCCAGAGATGAGGAAGCCCCCAATCTTGGCGCGAATGCAGCTGTGGCAGCTGCTTGTGGCCCTAGGACATTTGAACACAGGTGTAGTGTTCAGCCTGGACCAGCAGAGAACACATGTTGGGTGGGGTTAGGGTGCTGGGCTGTAGGCTGTCAGTCCTGGGGTTTCCTTCCAGAGAGCACGTTCTTGACTGGAGAGAAACTAAATTGGCTCATCATCCTGTTATTTTGGATTGATTGATTCCTTTGTGTGTGTTGGTCTTGTTGCTGTTAGCCTTGTACATTGTAGCTCCCTAAGAAAGAATAAATCCATGTTATTTTTTTTGTGGAGGTAAAATTCGCATACTAGAAAGTTGTCCACGCTAAGCTTTTCTGGGTGTACAATTCAGTGGCTTTTCACAACGTTGAGCAGCCATCACTGCCTAGTTCGAGAAATTTGCATCTTCCCCACAAGAAGCCCCTTACCAGTCAGCAGTCATGCCCATCTGTAGGATTCTTAAAGCAGCACTTGGATGTCAGGAGGAGAGTACCTGGTCCCAGATATCCCCAGGCGGATGGGAATGCAAATACAACCTCCAGAGAGAGAGAGAGTGGCTTTGGGGTTTCCTAGGATGGTGGCCGTCCCCCTTCCCCAACCTGGGCTCTGTGTTCTCACTCCCAAAGAGGGGCTCTGGCTGGCCAGAAAGTTACAGGTCAGAGCAAAGTGCCGGGTTGGGTGGGTGCTGACCTTGCCCTGACTCTCGGACTACCAGGTGGTGAAGGAGATGGATAATGAGAAGAGGATCCGGCTGCTCCAATTTGTTACAGGGACCTGCCGCCTGCCTGTTGGGGGATTTGCCGAACTCATTGGTATGTTTCCCCTCGTCTTGCTTGTGCCATTGGGTGGGCGTGAGGATAGCACAGAGGCCCATCCTCCTGTCTTCCTGGAAGCAAGTTGGTGTTAGGGGAAAAGCTGTAGCCCCCGTCAGTAGATGGAGCTAGGAGGGCCCTGCCTCAGGGAGGGGCCTTTCTGTTATCTATGGTATGTTTTTCTCTGGAAACCAGGCAGCAACGGACCACAGAAGTTTTGCATCGACAAGGTTGGCAAGGAAACATGGCTGCCCAGAAGCCACACCTGGTGAGCCCGCAGGTTTCAGTGTAGAAGGCCAGAACCTCCCAGAGTAGATCCACCTCAAAGGGCAACCCAGTGGGTGGTGGTCTCAGGGGTCTTGACTCCCTTTTGCATAACCCTGGGGTATTGGGTTGAGTGCAGGAGCTGCACTGTGCTGGTACCTCCTCTGCTTGGGCCTCTGAGTGTCGTGGCAGCAATGCATGACCTGGCACCTTACAAAGCATTCAGTATTGAAGCACTTTCTATTCCCATAGGCAGAGAGCTGCTGCCCTGAATGCCTCTTTCCCAGTTCCCCATATACCCACGTGCCCTGCCCCTCCCCAAACCCTTTCACAGCCCAGGGATTTGAAGTGTTAAGGCCCATTAGGACCCTGTTCCTGCCTCTGGCGACCTGGTACCTAGTGAGGTGGAGCCACAGTCCATGAAATCTCTTGAGGCCTTGTGGCTGGGTGGGGCTCTCAGAGCCTGAGCTCCCCAAGCCAACTGCTCTCTTCTTCTCCCTTCACAGTTTCAACCGTCTGGATCTCCCACCATACAAGAGCTACGAACAGCTGAAGGAGAAGCTGCTCTATGCCATTGAGGAGACTGAGGGCTTTGGGCAAGAGTAACTGAGGCTACCAACTCCCTCATCCCCCAGAGCACATGTAGTCCTCCCTGCCTGAGAGGCCGCTGGCCATGCAGCCCCTGGGAGGCCCTCACAGAGGGTAGCTGTGTGGGGGACCATGCTGTCTTCACCCCGGTGACAGCAGAGCCTGACCAGGAGGCCCTGCCACCCCCACTGTCCTCCCACTGGTGGCAGTCTGGAATAAATCCCCCTGGCTCCCTTTGGCCCTATCAGCCCTTGCAAATTCTAGAGGGCTGACCTCTGCAAATCTCATCCTTTTCCCCTCAGAGCAACCCTAGGTATGTGTGAGGGGGCAGGAGAGGGCATCTGCTGCCAAAGGGCTACAGTGGAAGCTCTGGGCCTCACCAGCTACCTAGGAAGATGGAGCACAGCCTCTTGGGCTGAGAATGCCCACGCTTTGCCAGTAAAAGAGGTTGTTTTAACTAGAACTTTCCAAGTGATCTGTATGAAAAGAAGATCTGAGGGGAGAGAACCTCTTCTAGCCTCCCTGCCTAGCAAGCACCATGGAGGAGGCTGAGCCACAAGACCCACCATCCCCACTCAGTGCTGCCAGTTAGATCTTCCCAGCAAACACAGGATTGTACCAACAGCTTGAGTGTTCATGGGATGGAAACAGCCAGCTCCTCAAGCTTTCTTTTTCCTTGACATAAACTTGAAGCATTTCTTGTGTAGGGTTACTTTTTGTTTTGTTGTTGGTATGCTGCTGTTACTTTCTCTCAAGGAGCCGGGACACCGGGGCTTGCTGGGACCTTGAGGGGACCCAGCACCTTTGGTCCAAGAATTTCCTCTTAGGAACCTGCTTTGCAGTTCTGAGCTTAGGCAGGCCCGATGCAGCATCACAGCAGCCTGATTCCTGAGCCTTGGTGGAGAGGGGAGGGGGTGGTGTGTCCAGTGATACCCAACCTTGTGACCTCCAAAATAAAAGAACTCCTTTTGCTAGATATAGTCACCCAGACAGCCCTAAGTGATGGGCCCTATGAGGCTGTCTCCCACCAGCCCCTGAGCTCCAGGTGGGCCTGCTAGTCCATGGTGGAAAAGCGGTGTGTCCCAGTCACTCTAGAGTTGCTAGGTCCTCTCCACAGGACCCCCAGGCAGGCCCTTGGACCCTCACAGCCTGCTAAGGAAAGTCTCAAGTTCCTGCTCCTCATCCTTCTCCCCCAGGCCCTTGGAGGGATGGCTGTCTGCTGTTGTGTGTGCTGATTTGGGTGGCTCTGCTCACTGAAGCACCACCATTTTCCCCCCCTCCAGTTGTTTGCTGTGCTTCTCTGCAGCTTCCCACCACGTGGGGGTGTCGGGGTATGAGCTGCCATGCAGGGATGTGGAGGCCCACGGGTGTTTAGAATGTGTCTCTGTGTGTGTACATACATGTATATAACGGAGGTGTCTGTACGGAATGCCCTCTGGTAGCTCCCAGTTGGTCACCAGATTGTTTTGTAATGCCCATCCCCTCGCCTTGATATTGCCAGTTTCTTGTGCAATAAACAATCAGCAGCTGTTGGTGGTACTGGCGTGAATGTCTACAAGACCACTGGCCTCCAAAGCAGAGGCCTCTGGGCCACACAGGCCTTCCAGGCCAGACCAGAGGCAGAGGTTCCATGACTTGCTGATTAGGAGAAGTCTGGACATCCTTCACTGACACACACTTCTGATGGGCTCTCAGTTATTTGCCTCGCTACTCTCTTTCCATATGCGTAGTCACCCTAGCAAGCCTGGTTTCTGTGAGTAGTTTCTGTGTGGCTAGACCATGAATGATTGTGGCTGCAGGTTGGCTTCAGAAACCAGTTCCCCATCACAGTAGTCTGGGCAGTCATAGATTGTAGAGATATTTACTGAGGCTACTCAAGTTCTGTGATGACAGAGGGACTCCCTAACTGGATTTCATGGTCTTACCAGGGCCTGGCAGCCACTTTGAAAACTTCAGGGTTCAAAAACTTAATGGAGATAACCACTTGACATGGAAGTGATCTTATCAACCAAGCGTGGCCCTGGTGATGCTTCTTCTCAGAGTGTTCAGCTTGACTCTTCCATGGCATTCATTGGCTGAATTCATAACCCTTCACCTCCAAACCCTTATTTTTACCTCTCAGGACAAGTTACCCTTTGAGAAAATGACTGAAAAGAGTCCACACATTATGAGACAACCAGATGTCTCATAATAAAATCAAATAAGACGTTCACGTGGAAATGTGTTCCCCACGCTTATCCTCAGAAATAATCATCACTCAGTCTGCTGTGGTCCTTTCAGGCTATCTTATGTGCATATGCAAGTTATATACACAAATACTTTCTAAGTGTTCCCTAGACAACTCTCTTGTCTGACAAAATGAGACACCTTTCCATATTGACTGACATAGGACTAGTTGGTTCTTTAACTACCACGTGCTGTCCTATATTATGGTTGTTCGATTACACTTCTATGTCTCTGAGGGTTTGGTTGTGGCTACAAAGCTCTAGCAAATCTCCTTGGGCAGGTCCTGTGCCCAGTACTGATGTTTCAGGGGAAGACGCTCATGGCATTTGGTTGGCTGATTTTCAAGGTTTAATCTTCAAAGATAAGAACTTATAGTGAAAGGTTTCCCTTACTCAGATCTGTTCCTCAGCCATCCTGATCACCTACAGCCATCATTGCTGGTTTCCTTTGGATCCTTCCAGATAGGTTTAAATATTCCCAGCAGATTCTACCCAGTTACCTTCAAAAACAACTCTTGTTTCACCAGCCTTAGCAATGGACAGGATCCCTGGTGACCTTACTTTGTGAACTGAATCACTGAGCTCCCCCTTCTGTCTTTGCAGCTCTCTGTTCCCTTTCTGCCTCCTAACTCTGGGCATCTGTCATTTTACTTTTACACCATTAGAGTTTTTGGCATTCAAAAACATTTATATCTATTGCATAACCAGAATAAAATCTGTACTTTCTCTTTGTGTTTATTCAAAAATTCAAAATGCAACAAAATGTTGACATTTCTACAATAATGGAAATACTCCAGAACTATAATATAGTATAATATAATACAGTTATGTTGTCCTCATTCATCCCTTTCTCCCCTGGCGTCCTAATGACTTCTTTGATATTATAGCCACAACTCCCTCTCTTCCCCACTTTACTCTGAAGTATTTGAAGCAAAAGTAGAGAAGCAGGAAGGCCTCCTACCCCTACACAGTATCATAAGTTCCTGATAGAAGTAACCAAAGCTACATAGTTACTTTAGAAGAGCGGATAGGCCATGTTAGTGCCCAAAGTCCTCACGGGTCTCCTCAGTGTCATGAGGCCTCCCTGGCTCTAGAAAGCACAGTTTTTGTAACCACCTGATGCTTCTTGATTGTTGCTCACATAACCCTTCCGGAAAAACTTGTGCTAAAGATCTATGTACTACCATTTAGAGGGAAACTCACAAGTAGCAGACTTTCTAGTTTTGAAGCCAAAGCATCAACAAGGCCTTTACTTCTTAGGGAAGAAATTGGAGTCAGTGCCCAAAGTTATGACTTCAGCTCCTTTCCCTCGAGTCTACCCCTTGCATCTAACTTCAAATATTCTTTTTGCCAGGTCCCATGACTCTGAGTTGGGTTCAGGTCCCCAGAGTCATAAGCCACTTTACACTAGTCCTCATCCCATGAGGGAGGCACCAGGCGTCTGACTCAGGTAGTAGTTGTACCTTCTGAACACCTTTGTGGATTCAGGGCTTAACTCCATTCTGTTTGGTCCCTGTGACAATCATCATTTTCTTTTTGACACTTGTCACAATCTGGACACCTTCTGTTGACTCCTCTCTGGATGTTGTAGATGATCGACATGACCTTCCATCCCCAACTTGACTTGTCTGGTCCCCCAGAACCAACGACTGTTCTATTCTAGGAGCCCCACTTCTTGTAAAAGAGTAAGTAGGAACCAAAATGTGGGCCCAGTGCATTCACGACTTGATTAATTTCTCTTTTCCAACACTTAGTAGACACACAAGATACAAAAAAGAGAAAAACAAAAAGACTGGTTCTGAGTTGGGTTCAGATACCCAAAGTCACAGACCTCTTTGCTCTAGTGAATAATTCCATGAATCAGAAAGAGAAGAAAATGTAAAATGTTGAGCAAGGTTGAAATGTGGGTCTGCAGCACCCAGAACTTGGTAGAGGTGTCTGGGAGTTCAGCTGTTGTGGAGCCCCAGCAACTAAATAAACTCCAATGTGGATGCTCTGGCCCTATGCTCCTTCCTGTGTCATGGTAACAGGCCATGAATATGCAAACTGCATCAAATCCAACCTGCCACCAGACCAGGCATCTAGCTATGACACAGAGACGTGGCCTAAGGAGGTAAGAACTCGTCACCTCAGAGTACCACCCTGGCCCTAGCTTGGATCTGTACTTTTCCTAGGTCATTCGAAGCCAGGGCCCCACACTGCCGTTCAAAGATCAAGCTCTAGAATGATGCCCAGCAGGATCGGAGGAGCAGCTGCAAACCCATTAGAAAAGCACACTGGAGAAGGAAGGAAACACCTTCCACAGTTTTTGGCTCTCCATATTTCAGAGGAAGACACTCCTGGAAGGTCTCTCTCCTCTTGACCTTTGCCTTAAGTAGATTAGCTGGCAAGTAAGCCTTTTCCTTGCAGTGCTGAAAGTCACTGTTCAGGAGTCTTTTCTCTGGGGATGAACGAATTGCTCTCCTACCTGAAGGGTAAAGGCATCTGCTCCAGGCACACCTGCTTGTAGGCTTTCTGGGAACAAGGAACAGGAAGGATGGATGATTGTTAGTCATTAATTCACTTTCCTATGTCCCAAATTCTGCCTCTGAATGCTGGGCCAAAAGGCCAGGGCAACGTGGGGATGACCTGGCCTTTTCTCTCCCTATTCATCCCTGTCCCTACTCCTGGCTCCCCTAGACTTTTTGTTCTGACTCTGGTCCCCAAGCTTAGAATTCTTTTTGACCCATAGTCTCCTGAGAAGTAACTAGTCTGGCTGGGGCTTCGGTAGGACCTGGTGTCACAGCCTCTGTATAGAAACTTAATGGTGTTCCTCCTCCTCCTAAGTACTGAGTCTCTGAGCTCTGGTGGTCTCATTCCTTCTGCGCATCAGCCTTGTCTGCATCATCCTCTGCAGTGATGAAGGTTAACGTTGTAAGTCAGTTACATGTCTACACCTGCTTTCCACCACTTTTTTTTTTTT